AAGGAAGGAAGGAAGGAAGGAAGGAAGGAAGGAAGGAAGGAAGGAAGAACTGAACTATTAATCAAACTTACTGAACGTCCACACATGGACCTGGATCTATCTACATCAAAACGCTCCTGTACAAAAAGAGGAACAGGGAAGAAATAATTACATGCATGTTTTTTTAATCCCAATTTTTTAAAAATCTGATATATGACTTGGCAGTGCTTTGCCACCTACTGTACATTAAACTGCCAACCCAAGAGAGAAAGGATTTCGGCCTTTTCAGTGGACTCATTCCAGCACACAGAAGAGGGACCGTTCGTATTTCTCAACCAAGCTATTACTCAAGGAGAGAAGCCAAAACTTTGTTTCAATGTACTGATGAGTTACTTATCCAAGCAAGCTCCAAGAGATAACAGGTGAGGCAACCCTTGGTATCAAGCCTACCCAATGGCCTAGATGTAGGAAAGGCATTTGAAGGAGGAGACCTCTTCTAGAGGACAACTCATTGGCTGGCTGAAGAGGGAGTCAACCTATTTTCCAAAGCACCAGAAGGTCAGACAAGTGACCATGGATGGAAAGTCATCAAGGAGAGAAGCAACGTGGGATTAAGAAGAAACTTCCTAAGAGGGAGGACAATCAACCAGTGGAACTGCTTCACTCCAGAAGTTGTGGGTGCTCCATCCCTGGAGGTTTTTAAGAAGAGACTAGACAGCCACTTGTCTGAACTGGTTTAGGGCCTCTAGCTTGAGTTGGACTAGAAGACCTCCAAGGTCCCTTCCAACTCGTTCTTCTGCTCTCGTTCGGGCTAGCAGGCCTACAGAAGGGGCGCACTCCATTCTGCAACAGCTTTCTGCAGATACTAAAACTTTCCACCCTGGTTGTAAACATAACAACCCCTCTCCTGTCGCTGCAGCAGCGCAATTAGTTACCAACACGTTGCCTGTTTCTAAAGCCGTCCCAGGAGAAGAGGTGATTCAGAGATGGAGGGAGTGTGGAATAAGGAAGTCACCCATAATCGTCAAGGGATAAGAAGTGTTTTCCAGAATCCGGCACCTCTTGAAAAGATCGGAGAACTCTTCAACTCTACAATTAAAACTGTTCTGGCCCAACCTGGTTCCAAGAGAGCAAACTCAAGACAAAGGCAGCAGCCCCCACCTTTTAAGGTTTAATCCACGAATTCTGTTTCTTCACAGATAAAAGGCTGCTTCCTACTAATTTTCTCCGACAAGAAAGAGCCTTGGCAAGTTGTTTGTCAAGGCTGCCAAAAACCCAGAGATAAGAAATAGTTTACAAGAGTTTTCAAATACTAACTATAATGTCCACGAGGCTGAGTTTCAGAACGTCTTTGCCTTCTGCAAAGAACGCTTCTTCAAGCCTGGCTTTTATCCTCTTGAGGGAGGGGCCATTACCTTGCAGCTTTACTCCCGAGTCGCCTATGCTGCTGTAACTGCTCTGTCCTGCGAGCAACCCTGTGTGCGTGCGCACTTGGCACAGGCTCCTCGGGAACCTCCTCATCGCTGCTGCCAGCCCCCACAATCTCTGAAGGCAGCAGTCCACTCCCTAATGGTCCTGGCCCCTCATCTGAGTCCTTGCTCTCCTCAGCTGTCCACACCTGCTGCCGGCTAACCACAACAAAAACATCAAAGATCAACTTCGCCCTCCCTTTCCCAGTCTCCTCACCACGTGGCTGGTGGAGTCCTCAAAATTGTAATAGTAAAGTTTGTTTTCCGCTCCGACGAACACGGAAGAAGAGCCCTCTTCGTGGTAGACAGCGATGTGTTTCTCCGTGGAATTAAACTGGAACTTTTTCCACCCTATAAAAGAAGGGGGGAAAGGGGAAAAAACAACAACTCAGGACTAAGCCCAGATTAAGGAAAGCATAGGGAGTCCTCACATTATGACCAGTGGTGGAATTCAATTTTTTTTACTACCGTTTCTGTGGGCAGTGGCTTGGTGGGTGTGGTGTGGCTTGGTGGGTGTGGCAAGGGAAGGACACTGCAAAATCCCCATTCCCTATTTTACCCACAACAACCCTGTGAGGTGGGTTCAACCGAGAGCGAGGGATTGGGCCAAAGTCTTAGCTTTCATGGTTAAGAAGCGACTAGAACTCACTGTCTCCTTGTGATTTACCTAAAGTCACCCAGCCGGCTTACATTTTGAAGGTGGAACTAGAACTCACCATCTCCTGGTGATTGGCCCAAAGTCACCCCGTCAGCTTTCATGCCTAAGGTGGAACTAGAACTCACCGACTCCTGGTGATTCGGCCAAACACACCCATCTGGCTTTCATGCCTAAGGTGGGACTAGAACTCACCATCTCCTAGTGATTGATTCAAAGTCACCAGCTGGCTTCATGCCTAAGGCAAGACTACAACTCGCAGCCTCCTGGTTTTTAGGCCAGCACCTTAACCATTTAGGCTGGTGATGAAGTATTGAAGGCATCGGGACAGAAACTGGGAGGCTGGGAGTTCTAGGCACGAAGCTAGCTGGGTAATCTTGGGCCAGTCACACCCTCTCAGTCATTGGCAGGAATGGCAATTTAGTTGCAATGGCAAAGTAAAATCTGGCCAAGAAAACTGCCCGGACTTCTCCAGCAAGTTGTTAAGAGTCAAGGCTGGTTTGAAGGCACTTCCTCAAAAAAAAATTAGATACAATCAGCACATGAATCAATGCTACACTCTCACTCTCCTTTGGTCCCTCTGCCATCTGATGAATTTCAAAATTGTTGACATGTGAATATGACCCAGGCAGCCTCCCTCATCAAATTAGCCAGGCCATCCACCTCTTTCTTTCTTTCTTTCTTTCTTTCTTTCTTTCTTTCTTTCTTTCTTTCTTTCTTTCTTTCTTTCTTTCTTTCTCTTTCGTTTTCTCTCTCTCTCTCTTTCTCTCTCTCTCTCTCTCTCTCTCTCTCTTTCTTTCTTTCTTTCTTTCCTTCC